TGCTTCAAACCTCAGTCCTCCAGGTCTCAGCCTCCTGAGTCCCATGCACCACAGAATCCTTTAACATTGCAAACTGTGTTGTTGGGAAAAGGAGTGGAAAGACCAGCCTTGGTTTACTTTGTAGCAAAGTCTTTTTCTAGATTGGTTGCTCAGCGTTCAGACTGCACAGTCTGCACAGGGATTGCTGTTGGCCCTGGCAAACTATGCATGGATTGATTCCTTTTCTCCCCACTCCTGCTATCTGTAGGTCATGGCCATTGCCACGCTGGCTGCCTGTTACAATAATCAGCAGGTGTTCAAAGGGGTTGTGAAGATCCGGAAAGGACAAGCAGTTACCCTAATGATGGATGCCACCAATATGCCAGCCGTCAAAGCTATAATATACCAGTACATAGAAGAGGTGAGTTAGTTTCTGTCACTGGTGGGGAATTTATAGCGACTTTGATGGTTTTCATAGGATGACTATTGGAGAAGGCCATGTTTGTAATCTAGATGATCCTAATACCTCATTATGGTCTAGAGAGACTGGAGTTGGTCTCCCTTAGAAAAAGAAAATAAAGTTTTATTCTTCTCACGGATTTTAGGGAATCAAAAATTTTATGGACATTTAAAGTTCATGTGTTTTCATCTGGCTTTTCCTTAAATAGTAGGAAGTAATCCTGCCTGTGATTGCAGTGTGAGGGCAGGCTGTCCTTGGCCAGCCTCCTGTTTTTATGTTTATTGGAATTCGGCCACGTCCATTTGTTTTCACTCACGTCTGCTTTTGCAGTTTCAGGGCAGAGTTGAACAGCTTTGACAGGGGAGCCCAGAAAGCTAAAAATATACTTTGGCTCCCTGATCTAGGATTCCAGATTAAAAGTTAGTCTAGTAAAACGCAAGGTATTCTGAAGGAAATGCTAATAACACTGACGTGGATTTGGTTCAGAGATCAGAAGATCCCAAGCAGTAAACTGTGATGATGGTTTTAATGTCAGCATAAGGACATGATGGGGCTGTAAGTGGAGACTCATGTCAGGCCCTTGGGCGCTCTGGCCTCTGTCCAGATGCTGGCTGGACCTGCTTTGCTGTTCTCACTGACAAGGCTGTGTTTGTAGTGAGAGGAGGGCACGTTTCTCCTGCCCAGGCTCTGGGCCTGTGGTGCATGGAGAATCCCCTGGCCAGGGCTTCGCCAGGCTCTCCTTGGCCGCTCTGCCTTCACCTGAGGAGGTGCAGGCGGCCTGCCCTGCCCAGCAGGTTGACGGCTGCTGAGCCTCGGGCCCTCGTCTGTGTCTGGAGCCCTGCGTCGCGGGCATTCATCCCAAAGTAATAATTTGGGGATAGAAGTAATGTGTGGACAAATGCCAGAGGCTTTATTCCCCACTCTGCCAGAGGGGATCCCAAGCAAGGCTGTAAGCTTCCTGTCTCACTCTCCCTGTGGCTATCCAGTTCTTCAGCTGGACAGACTGGCGCTTGAGTGTGTAAAACCCAGAGGATCTAGATGGATTCATTACAGCTCTTCTCACTAAATGATGGTCTTTTAATTATAAATCATCAAACTCCTTCCTTCCTTCCTTCCTTCCTTCCCTCCTTCCCTCCTTCCCTCCTTCCCCTTTCTTTCTTTCTACAGGGCCGCGCAATGCACTCTGGCTTTTAGTTCCTCACTCAGATCTGGGGGTCAGGAATGGGACATCCAGCCAGGACTCTAGGAGGACCCTTGGGCCTCCTTGCTTCTGGGGCTCAGACCACATGCCGAGTATTACTTGTTGAAGCTGCTTTTGCCCAGTCCTTCTAGAATCATTTTCCTTCTCCACGTTACTCTGAACTATGCCAGCATTTACCTGGTATCTGCTGTGAACCAGGCACCCTGGGGCATTGGGGATCTGAAGGTCAGCATGGCTTGACCTCTCCAGGTGTCCAGGAGCCGCCCCTCCCCCCGCACCGGACCCTGGGGCAGCATACACACTGGGCCATGCTTGCTGGGTGGACCAGCCTGGGGTGCCGTCCCTTGCTTTTGGCAAAGGTACTCCAGTTCCTCCATGGTGACAGGCCTGGGTTTCAGTTACCTGTCTGTGAAGACAGCTCAGTACCCACAGACGATGCTTATAAAGCACCCTGAAGCCAGATGCGGTGGCTTACACCTGTAATCCTAGCTACTCAGGAGGCCGAGATCTGAGGATTGGGGTTTGAAGCCAGCCCAGGCAGGAAAGTCCATGAGACTCTTATCTCCTGACTCTTTTTGTTTTCTTGAACAGATATATCAAAGAATCCCCTCCTCGGACCCATGTTCTAGTCAAACAAGACACATCATCTCCACAATCCGGACCCAGAACCTCCCCAACTGTCAGCTGATCTCGCGAAGCCACTATTCCCCCATTTACCTGTCGTTTGTCATGCTGGTGGCCGCCTTGAGCTGGCAGTACCTGAGCACCCTGTCCCAGGTCACGGACGAGTATGTGCAGACCGGCGAACACTGATGCTCAAGTCTACGCACAACTGGATTCCCTTGGCTTCCCTTTGGTTTTCTCCCTCCTACTTTGATTCCTCAGTGAACTCTGTGCTTGGACTTTTGGAAACTGAGGCGCACTGGAGAAGATGACAGTGGAAGGAAGGGACGCCTCCCCCCACCTCCCCCGCAGCCTGCTGCTGTGGGTCAGCTGATGGCGCCTGTGTGCCACCGCACTTCAGGTGGTGGCCACCTGGGGGCGCACTTGGTGAATCTGTTATGCTAATTAAAGATATTTAATTTGAGGCCATCCTGTCCTGTGAATGTGAAGGCTCCCATGCTAGGGTATATTTCTGCACTTCGTGAGAGTACAGATTTAGTCTTCTGCCGTGGGGGCTAGGAAAGAAAGTTGGGGTGTTCGGGCTGCATTATTTCCTCAGCGGGAGACCTTAAGCTTTTGATGGCCCTGCTTTAGACACTTGGGAGGTTTTTGCAGTAACTTGTGCGCTAAGCATTTGTTGAATCACTGCCACTTGCTTGGCTGCGGGCAGGTGGTCAGTGATTGAGGGACAAGGCCATCTGCCAGCACCGGCGGGGGGAGGGGAGGGCGGCCGTGTGGTCTCACTCACCGCAGTCTGCCAGCCCCTTCGCTTTGGGCTCATCCTCTGAGCTGAGTTAAAAATGGAAGGTTTTTTCTCAGTTTATTTCCTGAAACTCAAGAAAGGTGCATGATGGTGTTCAGATAGTAGAGTGGGCAGTCAGGTCAAATGATACGCTCGTTCTCCCTGGGTGGTTTATGAAACCCTTCCCCCTCTCCTAGCACAGCCCTGGTCTGGGGGTAGGAGGTGTCCCCAGGCTAGAGGTGTGTCCAGAAAAAGCCAAAGATCAGTCTAGAAGCCATTACATGTTTTTGCTATATGCATTTGTTTTTTGTCATGAAACAAAGTATCTGAGGTGAGTACTTTACAAAGAGAAAGTGCGGTTTTTGGAGGCTACAAGTCTAAACCCAGGGGCTCCACCTGGGGGGCCAAAGGTGAGTGTCCCAGGGTGATGGTCAGGATGGGCGTATGTGGACGAGACAGGAAGAAGGGGAAGGGCCAGGCGTGGCCTTGTTTTCTCCTCAGGAGAGCTAACTCCTGAGGAGAACGCGGCCTCCACGACCTGAGTTCCCTGCGTTGGGCCTCACCTCATGATGGATGGTCCCCTCAATCACTGCCCCCAGTACCAGGCCGACTTACCACGTCTAAGTCACCGCAGTGCGCACCACACAGGGCCGCTTTGGCACTCCTGACAGCTTTAGAAATGACTCCCAAGCTTCCGTGTGTCCAATTACTAGGACCAAAAGCTTGTGACCAGCCAGGGCTGGTGAGCTGATGAGACCACCGCTCAGGCATTCCTCCAGCTTGCATGTACCTGGGGGTCACCTGCAGTCTGACATCTAACAGGTGCTAGGGTGAAGCCACCTACTCTGCCCACATCAAATAGCCAGCCTTTGTTATGGTCTCATGTGGCAGAAAGTCTGAGCCATCCCAAGAGGCTGAAAAGGCATCACCCCTCCCACCTGCCTTTTGTCAGTCCTGGGGCTTGAACTCAGGGCCTGCGCACTGTCCCCGCTCTTTTGCTCAAGGCTAGGGCTCTACCACTTGAGCCACAGCACCACGTCCAGTTCTTGAGTGGTTCATTGGAGATGAGGCTCACATGGACTTTCCTGCTCAGGCTGTCTTTGAACCATGATCCTCAGATGTTAGTCTCCTGAGTAGGATTACAGGCATGCGCCACTGGCACCTGCTCCATCTTTCTTGTGAGAACCCAAGAAAACTATGGAATTGGCTAGGTGGAGATCCCTGGGGTCATTTTACATGTTATTACCAGGCAAGATTTTATTTTTTCTTGGTATTGAGGCTTGAATTCAGGGCTTGGGTTGTCTTAGCTTTTTCTGTGCAAGGCTGGTGTTTTACCACTGAGCCACAGTTCTACTTTTGGCTTTTTGGTGGCTACTTGGATAAAAGCATCTTACGGACTTTTCTGTCTGTGCTGCCTTGAAACCACAACTCGCATATCTCAGCCTCCTGAGTAGCTAGGATTATAGGAGTGAGCCACTGACGCCAGAGAAGTGCTTGTTTGGTGTAGCTCTGATGCCTAAACTTCCCAGGATTCTGGAAAGAGGCAGCCCAGCTCACAATGATGGAAGCACTAAGCCGCCAGCAGGCTGGCGGGGTGAGCGCTGGGCACTGTAGTCTTCTCTTCCCTAAGAACTCGGTTCCTGTTACTTAGGGGTCCTGACCAGGGCTGACAACCAGCCAGCCTGCCAGCACCTCACACAGGCTCTGCCCCTCCTCGGGGTGGTGGGGCTCTGTGCAGGTTGGGTACGTGGACGGACACCTGGTGCAGGCCTGTGGCATGCGCGTGCACACACACAGTGGGGCCCAGGCTCATCAAGGCATGGGCACCATTCTGAGAGTCAGGAACTACAGGAGAGAGGTGCCAGGGCCTGCGAACATGGCTGGCAGCTAGCGGTTGGCAGGAGGCTGTGGGGGCTGCCGCAGGCCTCTGCCACAGACACCATCAGAGCACAGACTTCAAGCTGGAGCAATCTTTTATTGGCACAGTCATTCCTTGTTAAAGATGGACACGGTTAAGCAGTGATTTTTTTTCTCTTTTTAAAAAAAGAAACAGCAAAAGCCGTTTTCTCCCAAACTAAGTTCACTGTGGTAGTGGAGGTCAGTAGATCAGCCAGCAAATCTTGACACCGTGGCTTGCTTCAAGCCAGGCCACGAGGAGAAAATCTTCCAACTCTTAGTCTTGTTCATTCACATGATCAGCTGAGGTGCACAAAACAAAACAAAACCCAAAGCAAACCAAACTCCTATTTAAAAAAAAAAGCAGCCTAGGGCAAGGCTAGAGGTCCTGGAAGGAGGGATGGATGCGGGGGCTTTCTGCAGAGGACGGACTGCACGCATGCTCTCTGCACGGGTCACAGGTCAGGAGGTGCGATGCTCGGAGCAGCATTTGTCCTTTGAGGAACTCCGCCCTGGGTGTGCGGTCTGCCTGGGCGGGAGGTGCTCCGGAGGAGGGCGGGGGCGGAGGGATGCAGCAGAGCTGGACAGCGGACGCTACATACAGCACTAGTCTAGATGGGAGACTCTGGGTGTGCTGTCTGTCCACACAAGTCTCCTCAGAAGACCGCTGATGGCAGGCGTGAGTTTGGTTCAATTCAGTCCTTCAGGTTTTGTCTAAAACCTCTTGGATCTTATGTGAACTCCAAGGATAAGAGCTATTCCTGCCCCATCTCACTCCCAGCTACAAGACCATACCTGTGGGGACACCTCTCCTAGAACCAGCCAGGCCTGCAGCCCATTAGAACCTTCCCCAGTATTGGTCAGTGCGTGGGATTCCTGCCACGATCTCGGATTCGATGCCACAATGATCCTCTCCTCTGAGGATTTTAAAGAAGCCTGAGGAAAGAGACGTATAATGCTTTGGTGTGTGTGATATGGCACTGCGGTCTATGCCTTAAACTCACGATCTTCCTGCCTAGGCTCCCTGAGTACTACTGGGATTACAGGCATGTGCCACCAGGCCTGACTGACTTGGCTCTGACCCTTGCAGTGTATTTGAACTTGGGATGACTTAGGAGATGACTGAGTCAACAAGCCCAGCCTCCAGCAGCTCCCTGGTAGCCTGGCACTCAGGCTTATCCCAGGTGCCATGCGGCTGTATGCGCACCACCCTCTCCGAGAGCAAAGCCTTAGGCCTGGGACTCGGGGCCGCGCCGGGGTGGGGCAGGGAGGCCACCCCGGCCCATGGCTTCCACCTCAGCGGGACGGGGGCTGCCACTCACCCTTGTCACCCCAGTCAACATTCCAGGAGTTGGCCACCAGCCAGTAGGGGACACCATTCTCGGTTCCCCAGCCCAGGATGCGGATGGCGTGGCCGCCCATCATATCTCCGGTCACATGCTTGTACACACCTGAGGAAGGGGAGCGGTTCAGGGCAGGCCGGTGGGGGCATGCGCCCTCCATCCCCCCCCCCACCAGCGCCGCCCAGGCAGCCCTCCGGCAAGAGCCAGCTCAGCGATGGGGAGGAGAGCATCACTGCCCATCAGAAGAGCCTGGGGAGATTACCTCACATACGTTTCATTTCTTTTCAGCCTCCTGAGGATTGCTGGGATTAAAGGTGTGTGCCACTACACGTGGCTGTAAATATTTCTGAAAGCTGAACCCATTCCAATGTGAGGAGCAGCTGTGAAAATGAGCGGCAGGCCACAGAGGACTGTGCGCGCCACCTCCAAGTACTCGCAAAATAAAGGTCTACTCAACAAACACTGACTCATGAGAACCGACGATGCCAAGGGTGTGTCCTGGGATTCCAGCCAGGGGCTCACTTACAGGCCCTGAGATTGCTACTGTGGGGCACTCTGGAGCGGTGGGTTGGCTGATAGGCCAGTTGCTGCCCTGCTGCTCAACCAGGTCTTACCCGGTGGGTGAATCACTGTCAAACTGGAAGTGCATCTTTAGTATGTGGGTAGGGCTTGAATAAAGAACTGTCATCATCTGGGCATGGTAGCTCATGCCCGTCCGTGATCCTAGCTATTAGGGAGGCTGCGATCAGTAGAATCAAGGTGCAAGCCAACATGAGCAAGGTTGGGGAGACCCTGTCTCAGCCTGCCATTCCAGCTATGGTGTGAAGAGTAAAATAGGAGAATCGTGGTCCAGGTGTGGGTGTGGGCAGAAAGCAAGACCATCTCAAAATACCCAGTGGAATAAAGGGTTGAAGGCATGGCTTAGTGCTGCAGCACCTGCCCAGTAAGTGCAGGGACCTGATCCAAGAAGAATTGTCAAGCCAGGCCAGTGGCTCACACCTGTAATCCTAGCTACATAGGAGGCTGAGATATGAGGACTGCAGTTTGAAGCTAGCCCAGGCAGGAAAGTCCATGAGACTCTCCAATTAACCACCAGAAAACAGAAGTGGAGCTGTGGCTCAAAGTGAGAGTGCATTCGAGCCCCATGACGGACCAAGAAATAAAAACAAGAATTGCCATCAGCTGCCGGTGGCGGCCAGCACCTGTAATCCCAGCTGCTGAGCGGCTCAAAGAGGAGGATTGGGAGTCAGGATGCTCAGCTGGGGGTGCTCATAAAGGACAGAAGCAAAGGCAGAGAGACCACGCTGGGGCGGAGCCGGGGCGGAGCCGGGGCGGAGCCAGGGCCTGGGGGGGCGGCTGGGCCCCAGGTACCCGAAGGCAAGCGCTCCCCTCACCTGACTTGTACATCAGGAAATCGGAGAAGACGGTGAAGGCGCCCTCCACCGGCCCGTTTTTGTAGATCTCGGCCATGATCTCCTTCTCGCTTCCAGAGATGCTGTAGGAGGTGTACCCTGAGGAGGAAGGCGAGGGGCGGGGGGAGGGTGTGTGAGGGCCGCGGAGTGAGGCCATGTCCACTCACTTCCGGTGGCCCCCCAGGGAAGGGTCAAGGAAGGCCCCTGAGGAAGCGGTCGGCGGGGCCTGGGCCGAGCAGGACACGGCGGGCCTGGGGGTTCCCTGGAGTGCCCCAGGCCGGCCACCTTACCGTAGTGCTTGTCTTCTCTGTAGGACGGGGTGTAGCCGGGCTCGCAGGACTTGCTGCACTTGGGGGTGTCACCCTCCCCCGTGCACTGGGGCCGGGAGCCGTTCACGTGGTGCTCGCACGGGGGGATGGAGTACGGTCTGCAGCCTGATGGGATTGGGGGGTGGGGGGAAGGGGGTCAGCCCGCAGCCTCTGCGGCAGCCAGCCCAGCCCAGCCCGGCCCGGCCC